AGCACTAGATCAGGAGTCCAGGATTGCAAGTGAATAAAGGAGCCAGAGAATGTTTGACACAGAAACAGGAAAACAAAGGTAGAGTGGGTTGAATTGTGTCCCGGCCCCCACACAGACATGCCCACTGGGAATATCAGAATGTGACTTTTTTTGGAATTAGGGAATTTGTTGATGGAATTAAGAGAAAGATCTTGAGATAAGATAAAGATCCTGATCCGGAGTGCCTGGGTGGCTCACTTGACAGGAGAATCCAACTCCTTTTCGTTTTTTTCAGAGATTTTATTTTATTTTTTAAATTTTATTTATTTATTTGAAAGACAGAGATCCCAAATGGGCAGAGAGGCAGGCAGAGGGAGAGGAAGGGAAGCAGGCTCCCTGCTGAGCAGAGAGCCCGATGCGGGGCTCGATCCCAGGACCCTGGGATCATGACCTGAGCAGAAGGCAGAGGCTTTAACCCACTGAGCCACCCAGGCGCCCCTCAAAGATTTTATTTACTTATTTGTGAGAGAGAGAGAGCGTGCATGCGCAAGTAGGGGGAGTGGCAGGCAGAGAGAGAAGAAAGCAGGCTCCCCGCATGCAGGAAGCCCAATGCTAACTCAATCCCAGGACCCCTGAGCCAAAGGCAGACGGTTACCCCACTGAGCCACCCAGGCACCCCCCAGCATCCAACTCGTGATTTCAGTTCGTGCCATGGTCTCAGGGGAGATCACGAGATCCAGCCCTCCATGAGGCTTCCTGCTCAGCAGGGAGTCTGCCTGGTATTCTCCATTTCCCTTTGCCCCTCCCAAGACCCTCTCCCCACCACCCCCAGCCAGCTCATGCTCTCTCTCAAATAAATAAATAAACCTTAAAAACAAACAAACAAACAAAAAACCCTGATCCAATGACAAGTGTTCTTATAAGAGAAAGAAGGTTCAGAGACACAGACAGGAAGGCCATATGAAGACAGAGGCAGAGACCCGGGAGATGGGGCTATAAGCCAAGGATATGTGCTACCTGCCTCAGGCCAGAAGATGCAAGGAAGGATCTTTCTGTACAACCTCCAGAGGGACCACGGCCCTGCCCATACTTTGATTTCCGACTTCTGGCCTCCAGAAGAGTGAGATAATGAATTTCTGTTGTTTTAAGCCAGCGGTCGGGCCTGACCTCTGATTCCCTAATTTGTTGTGGTAGCCCTAAAAAACTCCTACGGAGTCACTGCAGAGTGAATCCCAAAAAGCAAGAACGTTAAATGTAAGGTTTCCCAGCACCTCATGGCCACAGGCCAAGCCCCTCACTTACCACCTTCTCTGGACAGTTGACCCTTGGTGTCCGCACCTGGACTTCAGGAGCTGTTGGGGGCACCTGCCAGGGCTTGGGGCCAGCTCCTGGAGGATTGGGGGTCCCATCGTCAGCACTGGCCGCCTCGCCCTCACCCTCGCTGCGGCTGCCCACAGTGGCCTGGGCTCCCAGTGCCCGGTCCTCAGCCCCCTCAGGGTTGGAGCGTGTTCGGGGCCTGGGCTCAGCTGACTGCTCCTCTTCCTCTTCTTCCTCCTCCTCCTCCTCCTCCTCTTCCTCAGTGGGGCTGCTGGGTTCTGCCACTTCCATGGCCCCTAACTGGCTGGATGGAGCAGGGCTGGGGGAAGCCAGGATCCTCCCCTTATGGGTTTTAAAAACATCTGGTTACTGGACAGGACAGAGCATGAACGACCTAATGACTGTAAAAATCATTTCTTTCCCGGCCTGTTTCCTTATCTGCAGAATGGGTGCCTGGCATCCCATTTTTTTTTCTGTAGCGCTTAACCCATGCCCCCCCTTTCCCTTGGCCAGTGAACAAATCTGGCCACTAAGAACGCCTGAGAGATGTGGCATAACCCAATACAGGTCAGTGAGGGGCAGTTCTGGGGCTTCCGATAGTGCCATCAGGGAAGAGCGTCTCCTCAGACTTGCAGAGCTGGGAGGATAGAAGTCAAGAACTGTAAGGAGCCTCTTTGCCTCCAATAGGGGAAAGAAACCCTGCTTGAAGTGATGCTTACCCAGAAAACAGCAGCTAGACCTCTGTGCACCTGGATCCAGCTATGCCTGAAACCAATAAAGGAAACCTTATTTAAAATGGAATCAAGAGAGGGGTGCCTGGGTGGCTCAGTGGGTTAAAATGGAATCAAGAGGCCAAGAGCGGAACTCTCACCCTCTACCACAATGGCAGACCCTAACAGGAAAACAGACATTGCAGTCCCCAAAGAAAAAAGACTATACTAACCCAGCAAGGAAATTAAAGATTTTCTCCTTGCCTGGCAACAGCCCAACCAATGACAGACTGTCACAACTCAGCCAGTGAAAAGCCACTAAACTTCAATTCCCAATTTACTCCAATAGACTTTAGGTTTATAACAGCCCGTTCCAACTCCCCTTCCTCTATAAAAGAGCATTCCTCTCCTTTGTTCTGGACTTGCCTAAGATTTTGTTATACAGCTTGTGCATCCTGAATTGTAATTCTCTGCTATTCCCAAACAAAGCTCTTCTCTGCAGGTAAAAATGACAGTTTTCGTTTTAAGGTTAACAGAAGGTTAACAGAATAATTAGCTGGGGTGCCTGGCTGCCTCAGTCGTAGAGCATGCGACGCTTGTTCTTGGGGTTGTGAGTTCGAACCCCACCTTGGGTGTACGGACTGCTTACAAATAAGGAGAGAGAAAAAAAAAAAAAAAAAAGACTAGCTCTGGGATTCTCCCCAGCGGGGCACTGGGCTGCCTAGAAGGTGTCTGTGCAAAGGAGGGGGCACGAATTTACGTGGAAAAAAGACAGGACGCCAACAGTTTGCCAATCTGGGTTGGGGTGTAGGCTTCGGGGGATGGTCTTTGAACGGCTTGTAACCCCCTCAATCTCTAAGGAAAACAATGATTTGGCTTCAGCAAGAGGGATGAAGGCTAGACTGCAGGAGAAACCAGAGTGGAAAACGGGATCCCCAAGGAAGGCTAGGGGCTGGACCTCTAGGGACCGGACCGCAACCACCCAACCTCTTCTCACCGTAGCCTGTGCCTCCCTCCAACTCAGTCGAGAACTCACTAGGAAGCCGCCATCTTTCGCAGCCCGGAAGTACTGCGGCAAGGCCGCGACGCCTGCTGGGAAATGTAGTTCAGCAAGCCGTAAGGCAAGCCCACCTGCGAACAGGGGACGGCTGGAGAGCCTTGAAAGCGGATAGGCTGGGACTGCGCTAGGGTTTGGAATGTGATTGGTTAAAGCAAGAATAGCCGGAGCTTTGATGTTTCTGCCCGAATCGGGCGACAGTGGTCAGTGCTTCAACCCTGATAGGCTGGGACGAGGCCTAGTGGAGTGGACCTTTCTATGGAATAGGCTTAAAGGGATGGAGAAGGCCTTACTTGCAGTGTGATAAACTGAATGCGAGCGACTTGGGCGGGACTTAGAAGAAGAGGTAGGGCTGATTGGTGATTGGTGGAGCTGATCTGGCCCTCAGCGAGGGGCTAGTTTTTGCGGACTGGGGTGGGCGTGGCCCAGGCCCCAGGCCCCGCCCAGTTACTTAATTCCTCTCCTTATTTTACACATATTTGCAAAATGCAAAAAGACTAAGCCCAAAATATTTCAGACCACGTTTTCTTTTTCATGCACACTTCTCCTCTCACCCCCTAACCATTTAAAACCCACGCTAACCACCCTCAGTTTCTTTATTTGTAAGAGGATCAGTTAAATCCAGCCCTCATGAGCCAGGCTCTGGTCATTGACAGCCAGGAGGAGCTATGTAAGCTGCGTCTTCAAGGATGGAGGACTTGGCAGAAAAACAAGAGAATGAAAGGCATTCCAGAAAGAAGGAACGGCCTTGGCAAAGGTCTGGACGCTTGCAAGAACCTTGGAGTGGTGGAGACCTTAACAGGTTAATATGGCTGGAGCAGAAGCTAAGAGAGCAGATTTCAATGTGCCTGGGTGCCTACAAGTCAGAGAATTGCAACTTCTTTCCTTACCGCCTTTGGGGACACAGAAACAAAAAGATTCAGCCTCCTAGTGTCTGACAGTGGAATGAGGAAGATTTGGGCGACTCCAGACTCTGCACAGTTTAAACCAAGCACAGAAACAAGGAAAGGATGTTGCAGGCAACACGAAGGGGATCATCGTGGCTAAAGCAAGGAGTATACATGGGTGCAGGCAGCAGGCATAATTTTTAAGGCCCTTGAATGCCGGGTGGAAGAGCTTGAAATGTTTCCCAAGGGCAATGGGGAGTCATGGAGGGTACATGAGCAGAGGAGGTGAACAATGAGGTCTCTCTCCCAGGGGCCTGGGTGGAGAAGAGAGTAAAGGGGTGCCTGTAGGTCCAGGGAGAGAGCTGGGCTGGCATCCAGGTGGGAGGGGAGAGGCTTGGGCTCTTATGGATTGAGTTGAGGAAGCCCTTTGGAGATGGATGGAGGAAAAATGGGCAGGATGTAGGGACGATCTGGGCTCTGAGGAATTCCACATTTACACAGGAGAAATAGCAGCTGGTAGAAAAAGCAGAGATGGGAGGGTCAGAGAGGTAGGGAATAAGAGGGGCCTGTTATAATTCTCTTCCTGGATGGATTTTTAAAAATTCCTTGTTGAAATTCCCGTGACACTGTAGAAAAATGCTATAATTACCCCTCCCCCCATTTTACAGATAAGGAAACTGAGGCTCAGAGATGGAAGAGACATGAGATCAGGGGCTGAGGTGCGTGCGGAAGGACTGACATCTCAGGAGCTGGACATGCCCCCCCCCCACCCCGGGACTAGAGGAAGCTGATGTCCTTGAGGAGGAAACAGCACAATAACAAGTCACATGACCAGGGGAGGGGGGGTGCTTCCTGTTTCCTGGCCCCTCCCAAGCCAGCCTTGGCCAGCCCAGGGCTAAGCAGGCAGTGGCCAGAGCTACCCCAAGAGTTTCCAGGGATTTGGGCCGCTGACCAAGGTACTCCTAGAGGCACAGAAGTAGAGAAGACTGGGGGTACCCAACCCCAAGACTGGGGCCTCTGACTCAAGAGGACCCTGGGGAAGAGAAGTGACTCTTGAAGTCCTCAAGCCAGGCCCAGACTGGGGACAGAGGGAAGCACAGAGGTAGTGAAAGATAAAGGAGGCAGAGGAGAAGGGGAGAGCAGAACAATTTTTAGAGATAGTGAGCTGCCTGTCAAGAGGGGCATCGAAATGTACCAAATCCACACTGATAGTTCAAGATCCCTTCCAGAGGGAGGGGATCAATGCCCATTTCACAGAAGAAGATATTAAGGCCGTCAACAGGGACAACGAAGACAAGAGAGACAAGAGCTGAGATCAAGCTGTGGTTTTAGGAGGAAAATTCAGAAGACTGATTTCTGCACAGCAATGAATGCTCGGGCCACACGCCCCCGAAGCCGGCGAGGGAGGCACGCTCCGCCTGTAAGTGCCCCCCTGCCTGCCGCACCCAGCTCTTTGGGGCCACTCACAGCCCTGCCAGGCTCAGAGCTTGGCCCTGTGGGTCATTTTCAGGGGGAGCTCGATCCTGTGGCAGAGAGTTCCGAGGAGGTTGAGGCAGCCAGCGGGAGTTCTGAGCTGGGCCCTGTGACATCTCAGGAGAGCCCGGGGCCAGAGGCCGAGGCCAGTGGGCAGGGCCTGGGGAACAGGTAAGGCCCGCTTGGTCTGTACTCCCCACTCCAACCCTGGTATATCTTTCCTACCCACAGATGCACCTGTGTTCCTCCCTTGCTCACACACGCCCCGTAGGTTCCCACTGCCTTCCTCAGCCCAACTTTTCAAACCCCGGTTAATGCAGCCCCCGTGAGCCAGAGACCCCATTTCCAGAACCTTCCATCTCTTACCTCACCACAGGACCAACACAGAGGCTGAAGGGGACTCTAGCAGAGGACCCGCCCCATCTCCTGAGGGACCCTGCAAGCCTGCTGAGGAAGGCCAGCAGGCTGCAGATGTAGCCCCACTGGACGGGAAGACTGTCCCCCCCAGGCCTGAAGCCTCTGACATGTTTCAGACTCTCCAGCATGCTCTGAGCTCCCTGGAAGCAGCGGCTGCTGCCTGGCGCCACCGGCCCCCAAGCTGTCCTGGGCCCGTGGAGGCAGGAGACAGAAGCCGGGTGGGACCCAGGCCCTGCTTGGAGCAGGAGGGGGCAGGGGGTTGCCAGAGGGAGGCAGCCCGCCTAGCAGAAAGGAATGACTGGCTGCGATTGGCCTTGGGCAGCCGAGAGGAGGAGCTGATTCGCGTGCAGACCTCCCTGCAGGCCATCCAGGCTGAGAAGGAGATGCTGCAGAGAGAGGTGAGGGGGGGCAGCTGTCTAAGGGCGAGGCCGGCCTCGCATAGGTTCAATCATTCGTTCAAAAGAAAAACTTTTATGGAGCTTTGACTGCTGAGTCCTGAACAGGCAATGGTCCGCTGTCTTCTAAGTTAAGGTGGTCAGAGGAAGTGACGCTTGAATGAGGAGGTAAGGAAGGAGCCATGCAAGGATCTGGGGGAAGAGCACGCCAGGCAGAGAAGGAACTGCCCTCCGCGAGGTGGGAGTGTGATTCAGGGATCGGAGAGGGGGCCAGTGTGGGGGCGAAGCGAGGGCAGGTTGGTGATGGGGGCACATTTACAGGGTATTGTGGGCTGTTGGGAGTTGGGCTTTTGCCATGAGCCTGGTGGGATCCTGGAGGGTTTTCCCGGAGCAGAAAGGGCGGGACCCTGATGCTGCGTTCACGGGCGCCCTCTGGCGGCCGTGGGAGGAACAGCCTGTGTGTGCGGAGGGCGCGGGATCCTGCGGACCAGGAGGCTTTGGTCCAGACACCAGATGGTGGGAACTGTGGAGGTGGCACGAAATGGGCAGATTCTGGGTGGTGTCGAAGGTGGAGCTGGCAGGTTTGGGTGTAAAAGCCAGAGAAGGGTTGAAGACAAGTCCTGGTTTGGGGTCTGCGGGACTGGAAGGGAGAAATGCGGAGGCTCCAGGAGGAGCGGGTTTGGTGGGAGGGAGACCAGAAGCTGGTCGGGGCCCTAATGAGCTCACGATACCCATCAGACACCCGTGTGGGACCATCAGAGAGACAGCTCTGTGTCTGAGTCCTGAGCTCAGGGGTGGTGTCAGGATCGGAGAAACACATTTGGACCTCTTTAGCATGTGGACAGAATCTAAAGCCATGTGGCTAAAGGAGATGGTGGGGCACAGGCTCTCATCTTGGGCAGGACAAGGGGGCTGCCAGAGCCCAGCCTGAGGGGTGGGGCCCACTTCCTGGCTGGGAAAGGAAATCCCCCCCTCCACATTCCTCTCCTCACCCCCACCACCTCTGGCAACCACCACTCGGTTCTCTAGATCTATGAGCTCAATTTTTTGTTTTGTTTTAGATTCCAAATATAAGAGAGAGTACAATGTATTTTCTTTCCCTGACTTATTTCACTTAGCATAATCCCCTCAATGTCCATCCATGTTGGGGCGCCTGAGTGACTCAGTTGGTTAGGCTCAGGTCATGATCCCAGGGTCCTGGGATCGAGTCCTGCATCGGGCTCCCTGCTCAGTGGGGAGTCAGCTTCTCCCTCTCTGCCTGGTGCTCTCCCTGCTTGTGGACGCTCTCTCTGTCAAATAAATAAATAAAATATTGGGGGGAAAAAACGTCCATCCATGTTGTGGCAAATGGCAGGATTTCCTTCCTTTTTTTTTTTCTTTCTTTTTTTTTTCCTTCCTTTTTTTAAGGACAAATGATATTCCTTTGTTTATCCCCAGATCTTCTTTAGCCATTCATCCACAGGTGATCACTTCTGATCATCAAGATAGGTTGCTTCTATGTCCCGGTTATTGTCAAGTAATGCTATAATGAACGTAGGGGTGGGATATCCTTTCGAGTAACTTTTTTCCTTTCCTTCGCATAAATACCCAGAAATGGAGTGGCTGAATCATGTGATAGTTCTAGTATTAATTTTTTGAGGGAGCAATATATGTTTTGGTATAAACGGCTGCACCAATGCACAATCCTGCCAATGGTGCACGAGGGTTCCCTCTTCATATCCTCCCCAGCACTTGCTATCTCATGTCTTTTTTTTAAACTAATTAATTTGCAGGGGAGAGAAAGCAAGTGTGCGTGTTTAAGTGGGGGGAGGGGCAGAAGGAGAGAATCTTTAAGCTGACTCCCTGCTGAGCACAGGGCTGGATCCCACGACCTATGAGATCATGACCTGATCCGAAACCAAGAGTCAGACACTTAACCAACTGGGCCACCTAGGCACCCCAGTGTCTTTTTGATTTTTTTTTAAAGATTTTATTTGTTTATTTGACAGAGATTACAAGTAGGCAGAGAGGCAGGCAAGGGGGCAGGAAGCAGACCCCCCGCTGAGTAGAGAGCCCGATGTGGGGCTTGATCCTAGCACCCTGGGATCATGACCTGAGCCAAAGGCAGAGACTTTAACCCACTGAGCCACCCAGGCACCCCTCTTTTTGATCTTTTTGATAGTAGCTTTTCTAATAGCAATAGGGTGATATCTAATTGTGGTTTTGATTTGCATTTCCCTAATGATTAGTAATTTCGAGTACCTTTGCATGTACCGATTGGCCATGTATATGTTTAAAGAAAGAAGATTCTTGAGTGGCTAAGTGAGTTGCCCAAGGCTCAGTAGTGGTGAGTTTGGCGGGGTGAGTAGCTAGGTTCCTGCTTCCCAGCTGGGAACTGTCCCAGGAACAGGTCTGCAGGAGGGTCAGTGGGTGATTGGAGCTCCCAGGCCTGACCTACTCGTCTTCCTTCCCCACCCCCACCCCAGGTCCAGGAGCTGCAGGATTCCCTGCTGAGGCTGGAACCTTTCCCGCCTCCCTCCCCGGGCCAAGCAGGGGCCTCAGGCAGTGGCTCCAGCAGTTCTGGGGTAGATGAGGAGCCCTGGGGGACTCAGGTGAGCATGGGAAGCATAAAAACCATGATCTTTAGATCTTTAGGATTCTGGGCCATGAGACTCAAATCCTGGTCCTGTGATCCAGAAACTTCTGGGGTGGGAAAAAGCTTAACTCCATGATACTGGGCCCTCAATGACAGTCTGGATGAATCAAGTCCCCTCTTTCTGACAGGACCCCTTCCCCTTGGTTCACCCCCTGCTCCGGCGCGTCCGGAGCGATTCCAGTACTCAGATGCTTGGACCTCTCCCCACTCGACCCCTCACCCCCGAGATCCACATCATGGATGTGCGGATGGAGCAGCTCCGGGGGTAAGGGTTACAGATGCTGAGCTCGTAAGGGCGCCACAGAGCAGGCAAGAAGTGGGGAGGAGGGTGGAAATCACCTGGGTCCTGACCGCACTGGGGACGCCTCTCATTTTCCCTCTCCCCTAATGGCGGAGGCAGGAACATTGAGAAGCTCAAATGTTTCAACCGTCTGCTGTCAGCTGTGCTGCAGGGGTACAAGGGCCGGTGTGAAGGCCTGAGCATGCAGCTGGGCCAGCGGGAGGCAGAAGCCACAGCCCTGCGTATGGCCTTGCAGTACAGGTCAGTGCCTCCTGTACTGTTCTGACTAGTGTGGAAGGGAATGGGTGTGCTCAGAGGATGATCCACAGGGAGAGTCTGGGCCCTCGCAGGAAAGCACTTTCCCATCCGGAATTACTTTTTTTTCCCCAAAGATTTTATTTATTTATTTGACAGAGAAAGCGATCACAAGTAGGCAGAGAGGCAGGCAGAGAGAGAGAGGGGGAAGCAAGCTCCCTGCTGAGCAGAGAACCCGATGTGGGGCTCAATCCCAGGACCCTGATCATGACCTGAGCCAAAGGCAGAGGCTCAACCCACTGAGCCACCCAGGCACCGCCCCCTCTGAAATTATTTTAAGGCAATTTTAGCCCAGGGGTGCTGAAGGAGTTTACATGCTGCTCCCAGCAGTGGGAGTGGGGGATGGAGTGAAGGGTCCAAGGACAAGTGGGTACGTCACCCACATGACAAGATGGGGCCAGGAGTCCTGGAGCACTCAAAATCAGTGTCTCACAGCGAGCACTGCGAGGAGGTGTACGGAGTCCTGCTTACTCTCCGGGAGGCTGACTCGGGAGCAAGAGAAGGGATCCCTAAGGGGGACCTGGAAGTGGCGGAGAAGGAAGCCCAGAGGCTGCTGGCACAAGAGGACACTGCCATGGATGGAGAGACACCACGGGATCCACAGCCAAGGTACCCCTGGGAACCTTGGGAGCTGGGAGGGCCAGTGAGTGGGGTGCTTAGGTTGACAGACACTGGGAGTGGTATAGGGCCCGCCAGGGTTGGTGTGAAGATGGATGATGGTGCCCACTGATTAGAACTGGCATGATGGTGTTGAATGGGGTTGGCCTGACGTTGGCATACACGGGGTTGGCAGGCTCAGTGGTCATGACCATTGTGTTGGTGCTATGGTATCCACCGTGTTGGCCTAAGGAACAGCACCTTCTGAGTTGGTGTGATGGCTTCTTCTGGGATGGCATGAGCAACAGTAATTGTTGACATGATAGTGTTCACTATGTTGTCTTGATGAATGGTGGTGCCCATTGGGGTTGATGTCATGGTGTCCACCATGTTGGTATGACGATATTCACCACCGACAAGATAGAATCCATCATGGCCAGTACGATGGAAGATGATAGAGCCCACCAGAGTTGGCATGAAGTTAGCACAACTGTGGTCACCAGTGTTGACATTAGACACCTCTTCTGTTTCCTGCAGCCCCGAAGGCAGTAGTGTGGATCGGCCCACACCGCAGGAGGTGGCTACCCAGCTCTGGGGCTATGTACAGCGTCTCCAGGCACGCCGTGCTCTGGTGAAGATTCCCCCAGAGCCTGGCCCGACTTTGGCACCCATGCCCACTGTGCCCCACGCAGAAGCCATGGTTCAGGCCATTCTGGGGACCCAGCCTGGCCCGGCCCTACCCCACTTGGAGAAGATGCAGATCCAGCAGGACTTGGCATCTACACGGGTACACATGGGCAGTGGTCACTGTGTTGGTGTTTTTTTCCTGGGACAAAACCCTTTGCCCAGGCTGAGAGGGATGTGGCTGGGGGACTGGGTAACAAAGGAGAGTTCTGCATGGCTGGGGGCAGACTTCCTGGAGGGAGGAGCATTGGACCTGGGATTTTGAGGGATGCATAGGAGTTTGTCTTCTGGAATTCAGTTTCTCCTAAGATTCTGAATCTGGCTTTCCAAAATTTCCTTCCTATGGAGAGGAGATGGAGGCAGAGGACGTAATCTGTTTTTCTCCCTGGCATGAAAGATCTGAGGTTCTAGAGTTGGAGAAACCCCAGACACTTCCGCTGAGATGCTACTGGCCCTTGTCTGGGATATTGGTACCCTCTGAACTGCCATTCCTATAGTGGTCACCTTTAGGAGATGGTTATTTCCCATCATACAAAATCACGGTGTAGGTTCAAGTTCTTGCCTGACCGGTCCTCACTGGGGGGTGGAGGGTCCTCCTGGGGCCTCAGTTTCCCCAGATCCTAGAGGCCCCCATCGTCTGCCCACTCCTTGGTCCCTCAGGAGAGTCTGGCAGACCTGATGCTGCGGCTTCAGTTGGTGCGGCGGGAGAAGCGGGGTCTGGAGCTGCGGGAGGCTGCCCTCCGAGCCCAGGGCCCAGCCCACGTGCTCCTGCTGGAGCAGCTGCGCTGGGAGCGGGCCCAGCTCGGGGCTGGTGGGGCCAGCAGTAGTGGCGGCGACAGCAGTGGAGGCGGGAGCAGTGGGGACGAAGAGGAGGTGTCCCAGGTGAGTGGAGCTTCCCAGACCTGGTGGAGACAAGAGTATACTATGGGCCCTGGTGCCCTGGTGCCCTGGTGGATCACAGTCCCCCTCTGAGCCTCAGCTGGCGTTTCTGCACAAAGAGATGAGTTGAATGTCAGAGGACTGAATGTCAAAGTTCATACCTGTACTGTGGGCTTTTTTTTTTTCTTTGAGGGTATTGAGCCCACTAAGCCCTGAGGAGTCTGGCTCTTCCACTCAAACCTGTGTCTCCTCCTTCCCACTCTCAGGCTTATCTCCTCCAGCATCTCCCCTCCAATAGCCCCAGCCCATGCATCACCTCTTCCTTAAATTTTGGCTGGAACTTGCTCCCTAAGGCCTTCCCTTTTACCCCTTCCCATCTAATCAGGTCTGTCCTCTGCTTAAAGCCTTCAGCAGCTTCTGGAACCCTCCTTTGAATCGTCTCTCTTACCTCTGAGCCTTCATAGGTGCTGTGCCCCTTCCAAAAACACTCGTCCCTTACCTCTTTGTCTGATTAAGCCCATGATCCCTTGCAAGTCTGAGCTCAGACCTCACCTGCCTGCAGATGAGATCCCCTGTTATTTATTTCTCTAGGTAGGGAGGAATTTTACCCTCATTGGGGTATCTCACCAGACTGGGGGCTCTGTGAAGGTGGGGGCTGTGGCTGCCCACAGTTTGGGTGGCTTCAACGTCCAGCTTGGCCTGAGTATGCCCTCCACCTAGGCCAATGTCACTTATCACTTCCCTCCCTTCTGTCTCCCACAGGGCCCTCCCGCTATCCTTGGTGGCAGAAGGGGCATTGATGGAGGTCAGGTGGGCAAAGCCCAGGGCCCGGAGCCTCTGGCCCAGGAACTGGCAGCGTCACTTAACCGGTGTGTGTCTGGGTCCTGGGCTGGGCGGGTACGTGCAAGGTTCCATGCAGGCACCGTGTGCAGCAGAGGGCTGGGTGTGCGTCCGTGTACGGGTGTGTGCACAGGGAAACACCATGGACAGGTGTGGTGGGAGGAGGGAGGGAGCTCCTTCAGTGAGGAGCTCCTCTCTCCCCACCCCTGCACCAGGGCCCTGGGCCTGCGGGAGCAGCTGCACTCTCTTCGGGAGGAACTGGAACAGGTGGCTCAGAAGGGGCGAGCCAGACGAGCTCAGAGTGCTGAGCTGAACAGCGATTTATGCAAGGCTCACAGGTGGGTCTCCCTTCCCCGGGTCTCCCTGGGGGACCTCAGAAGTGACCCTGGCTTTCTCTGGGCCTCAGATTTCCCCCATAAAGTAGGTGGCAAGTCCAAGCCACTCCATACCTCCCCTTTCTGAATGGAACCCTAGGAAGATTCAATCTCAAAGAGCTCCTGTCTGGGGTTGGAAATACATAGCTCCTGACTTGGTGGGAGGGGGGCCCTTTCCTGGCTCAGCACCCCCTCCCACCCCCTCCAGTGCCCTGGTCCTGGCCTTCCGAGGTGCCCACCGGAAGCAGGAAGAGCAGCGGAGGAAGCTGGAGCAGCAGATGGCCCTCATGGAGGCTCGACAGGCAGAGGAGCTGGAGGTGTTAGAAGCCACAGCAAGAGCACTGGGCAGGCCCAGACCACCTTCCCGGCCACCCCGGCTGGGAGAGACCTTTCTGTAGGTCCCATTGTGGCGGTGTCTGGACATGCCAGACTGTCACGGAGGGCGCCACCATAAACTGTCCTGGAGTGATGTTTTATCATGTGTGACCTTGAATGTTGGGATCTGTTGGGTGGGATGAGGGCCGATGCACCTGTGGGATCTGGGACCTGATGGAAGGAGGGGTGGCTGGGCATTTGAGAAAGGCTCCCTGGCTTTGACCTGGAGCCCCGTGGCATGTGAATACGATGCCAGCCAGATCATGGGGTCATGCCAGGGGTCATGCCAAATCTAGGATATGGGGGTGAAGGATTCAGGGTCAGCGAGGTTACATGACCAGAACTGACATTCCATCACTCATCTGTCTCTTTTGGAGGGGTCAAAAGACACATTCCCTTGTCCATATCCTTCCCAGGAAGATGCTGGGTTTGGCCTGGTAGATGCTCCAAAGAGGAAAATGCCTGTATCCCAGAAGGAAAACTGAGGGCCTAACGATTCAGGGTGTGGAAAGTTAGCCAGAAGACCAACCGCTCCCAAGGTGGAGGTGTGGGAGAGGAGACATCAGAGGGCTTTGGAACTCTTGTTCAAAGGGAAGGTGGAGAGCTAAGGTAAAGGGCTTCTGGGTGGGGGCAGAGCACAGGTAAGAAATCTGCAAGTGTTTACTCCCGGGCAAGGGGATTCTGGCCCGAGGGAGAGTCTGGATGGTCCCGGCCCAGGTTAAGCTCCAGCTTTCACCCGCGGGCCTGGGAGCCTTCAGGGTCAGGTCAATAGCAGACAGCTAATTAGCATGTCATTTGCATAAGCCACACACCCTGGCAAGGGGGACCAGGTGGGACCGGCCAGCCGGATTATTGCTGGGCTCTCCCCCCTCCTCTTGGGGATGGCTGAAATCCAAGACGGGGATTAGAAAGGTTTTCGTCCCCAGCCTAGTAGTGGTGGTGCTAGTGTTGGGTGCTCTCCAGCCCACACCTGTGCAGGTGTGTGCGGTGGCTGCCTGCCGCCAGGGGGGCCTGAGGTCAGGCGGGTCCTGCGCCTGGAGTCAACCTGGTCCTGACGCTCAGCTCCTGAGAGATTGCTGGGGTGGGTGACCTTCGGATGGTGCAATCTCTCTGGACAAAAGCCAGCTTTGAAGAAAGCAGGGAAACTGAGGAGGGCAAGGTCCTGAGGAGGTCGGAGGGGCCGAGACAGCAATGCTGCTTCCAGCACTCCAGTCCCACCAGTTTGCCTGTGGTGGGGGGGTAGGGCAGAAGGAGACAAGGTCACCTGCTGAAGGGTGGGGAATGAGCTCGGGCTGTTGCGGGGAGCAGGGGCCGGTTCCCAGGCCGACGGGAGCGGGGTCTGGCGGTTCCCACGGGTGCCCCCTCAGCAGATGGGCCCAGGGCTCTTTGTCACCGGTCCGCAGCCGCCGCAAGGTCAAATGTCACCGCGGGGCCGCGGGCAGGGGTCAAGGGGGTGGGGCCGGACCTCGACAGCCCCCCCCCAGGGCCTCAGGGGTTTCCACCCGCCCTGCAGTGCTACGGGGAGGAGTCCGGGCAGCCCACGAGGGGTTGGACTTACCGGAGGTTCTAGGCTTTGCCTTGTGTGTTTCCCTAGTCTCCAAGCCCACCCCAGACTGCCACTTCTGAGCCTCCCCTCCCTGAACTTGTGTCCCTCAAGCCCTAGGTCCCTGCCCCCTCCCCTTTTCAGTCCCCCTCTGACTCCCTTCCCTGAACTTTGTCTCCCTTCTGAGATGCCCCCTGCCCAGGAATGCTGGAAAGCCCTGTCCAGGGCCCTGGGACCCCTGTCCTCACCCCCAAATAACCAGCCAGCACCTCTACATTCCCAGGCAGCCCCAGAACAAAATGGTCTTTTCTAACCATCCAGGCCCCCTTCTTCAGCAGGGCTTACATGCGAAAGAACTCCACTCTAGTTAGTCCCACGGAAAGTCCTTGTTCCTGTCTAACCCCAGTCCTTCTTGCTTCCTGTGCTTGTTAAAACCTCCCTCAACTCCCACCCAGCCAGACTCTCCCTGGGAGGCCCAGAGGCCCAGGTCTGGGTGTGTGGTGCCTGGCTTATGCGGAACCTTGTTATACTCTTAAATGTTGCATGATCTACAAGATCTCCTAGTACCACCCCCCACGGGGCCCCCAGCTAAGGTGCCCCCTCAGATACAATCTGGAGAAGGGGATGCCTTTTTCCAAGGCCCCTTCCTGCCAAGAGCAGGACCAGTGGGGGCACAGGGCACTGTTTTTCCTGCCGGCTCTGAGCGGCCCAGCCACGTGCCCCGGTGTCCAGCTCTGGGCCCAGGGCCCGGGGGCGGGGCAGGAGAGAAGGCCTGCAACTGGACCTGGGGGACTCCAAGGTGAAAGGTCACCGTAGGAAGGGCTTTTCCAGCTGGTTAAACGTTAACAGGCCCAGAGCAAGAGGCTCAGGCGCGCCCAGGACTGCCTGGGCAGAAGGTGGGGCGGTGGGGGGGGGTACACAAACAAAGGGTGCTTAATAAATGCTGGTCGTGTGGGGGAAGCTGTAAGCTAGCGGCAACTGAGAGGCTCCAGGGAGCCTGGCAGAGACATCTGCAGTCCAGGCGGTGGCCTGGCCAAGCCCTTTATGTGCAGCACAGAAAGAAAAGGAAATTAAAGAGGAAAAGGGGCAGGCCCCAGTAGGGATGCTGGGCATTCCTGCTGCCTCTAGCCCAGCTGGGCGGGTGGGTGCCCTGCCCCCAGAGGCCTAAAATCCCGGCGAAGGGGCCCCTGACCTCGCGCCCCTGCCGGCTACAGACCACAACATCCCTTGGCCCTGGAGATTCCCAGCACCAGGTGTTAGCCCAAGCTGAAAAAGGGTGGGGTGGGGGTCAGACGCGGCGACTTTCTGGAAGAGGAAGCAAACACAATCCAACAAGCAACTGTGCAAAGAAATGCCCCCGTGTGTGTGTGTGTGTGTGTGTGTGTGTGTGTGTGTGTGTGTACACTGTGCAGGGGCGTGCCCCCCGGGGGCAACCGGCCCCCTATTATTGCTTCTGCGGGGAATGCAGGGGTAGGGTTCTGAGGTGCGCCTCGAGGGCGGTTGAGTGAGGCATCGTCCAAGGACGGAGGTGGAGGGGAGGGCCTTGGAGAGACATCTTGGCGAGGCTGCGGAAGGGCAGAGGGCAGCAGCGGCCAGGATCCCGCCGCGGCCCGGCAGGGGTTAAGGCTGGAGTCGGGCGAGGGCGGGGGCAGAGGGGGGAGGAGGGGGGAGGGTCAGGCCGTGCGGCCCAGTGCTCCGCCCTCGCCCCTCCCGCCGGCCCGGGCGCCGGGCGCCGAGCGAGGCCACCCATGCCCTTATAAGGGTGGCCGTCGCCGGGGCAACGAGCGCCCGCCCCCAGCCCGCGGCGCGCGCCCCTGCCCCCGCCCCCGCCCCCCGCCCGCCCCGCGAATGGAACGTTGTGTGTCAAACCGGCCGCAGCGCGAGGCCGGCGCGCGGGGTCGGCGGCGGCGGCGAGAGCGAGGCTCGGGCCCAGGCGCAGGCCCAGGCCGGGCAGGCGCGGCCGCAGAGGGGGCGGCAGCTCGGGAAGCACCGGCCCGCAGCCTTGCAGGCCCCGAGCGGCCGCCTGGGGGCCCGGGGGAGCTAGGGGGCGCGGCGACCGGCCCCGGCGCGCGCCTGCCGCCCCTCCCCCGCGCCGCGGGCGGCCGCGTAACTTGCGGCCAAACTTTCCCCCCGGCCTCCCGCGCTTGGATGGCGGCCCGCTAAGTTGGCCGCAGCCCCCGGCCAAGCGGCGGCCAGGCCAGAGGGCGCCCCCTGCGCAGCCTGCGCCGGGCCATGGCCCGCGCGCCCCCACCGGGGCCCCAGGGCGGCGGGGCGCGAGTCCCCGGGGCCCCCGGCTCGCGCCTCTAGCGCGCCCCCCCGCCCCCAGGCCCGGCCCCGCGCACGCGTGGGAAAGTTGGCCTGGAACCGGCCCGACCAGTTCTGCCCGGGCGCGCGGACCGGCCGCAGGAAGTTGCTGCAAAACTTTTTTGGGGGGTGCAGCCGGTGCCCCCCGTGCGCCGGGCCCGGATGCGTGCCGGGTAGGGTCCCCCCGGGCCGAGAGGGGTGCCCGGAGGGAAGAGCACGGAGGGGGCGCCCCGGCCCCGCTGCCCTGGGGCTATGGCCATGGTGACCGGCGGCTGGGGCGGCCCCGGCAGCGGCGGCGGCGGCGACACGAACGGTGTGGACAAGGCGGGCGGCTACCCGCGCGCGGCCGAGGAAGACTCGGCCTCACCCCCGGGCGCCGCCAGCGACGCTGAGCCCGGCGACGAAGAGCGGCCGGGGCTGCAGGTGGACTGCGTGGTGTGCGGGGACAAGTCGAGCGGCAAGCACTACGGCGTCTTCACCTGCGAGGGCTGCAAGAGCTTCTTCAAGCGGAGCATCCGCCGCAACCTCAGCTACACCTGCCGGTGAGCCCCCTCTCAGCGCACGGCCGCTGTGCACCCGGCCCCAGCTTGGGCCGGGCCTCTGACCTGCTCGGTCACCTTGGGCCTGGCGCTGACCTTCCCCGGGCCTCCACTCCCCTCTCTGAGATAGGGGCACAGACCCCTCTCCCCTTCTCCATTCCATTCCTGGGATTGTGTATACAGTCGGCGCTGTATCGATGCAGGTCCCCCTCCTCAGGTGGTCTCTTGCGGCTTCCGCCCCAGTTCCTTGCTCCTTCTCCCTCCCTCCCTATTCTCTGGAGAGGGGTCATCTCCGTGCGGGGAAGGGTTGGGGGGTGCTGTCAGGGGTGGGGTCCTAACCCCAGGGCATCCCTTCTCGGGGATCTCGGCGCGCAGGGGACGCTGCGGGAATCGAACGTGGAACTTGGACTGTGGAGCTCGCAGCGTCCAGGGGCCATTGTCTGCGGCCGCGCGGATCGATACGGCGCGCCCTTGGGGTCAAATATCACTTCCAAAGTCGCCCTGGCCACCGAGGCGGCGGCGGCGGCGGGAGCGAGGCAGGGGTGGCACCGGGCGGCCTCCGGCCTCTTTCGCATGGGTAGCCCTGCTATGGGGGGAGCTGGGCTTGCCTATCGGGGGGGGAGTGCCCGCCCCCCCA